CGGCTGTCTGCTGGGCTCCCGAATCTGAGTGAGTTCCACTCATCCCTACTCCTTTTATCCGGGAGGAGGAGGAGGGAGGGGGGGGAAAGGGCGGAGCCTTGTGCACCACCTTAAGATTCACACCTCAGGAGGCACTTTAACTTTGGGGGATGGGTGTGAGGAAGCACTGACTCTGAAGAACAATTTCTTTCCTTTTGTCCATCAATCAGAAAATCAAACATGGCCTTAACGAAGTTCTTTGTGTTTTCTCTTGTTTCCTTAGGGTGTCTGTGCCTTGCCAGTTCCTGCTAGTTCATCGCTGGCACTCAGTTTCACCATCAGTAAAATGGAGGCATAGTAAAGCACGCAGTTTCTCTCAAGTCCTTTCCTACTCCAAATCCTCTTGCATTAATGGCCTGGCAAGAAAGTGTTCTGGAGTGTAAGAAAGGTCTTCAGATTAAAAGGGAAAGCAGTGATCAAAGAAAAAATCCAAGAAGCCACCAAGAACTATAGAGAACATTTTCAATATAATGTCTTTAATGAAAAGGAATGGAGTTATATCCTTGAGAATTATAATGGCCACCTTCCTATAGAAGTAAAAGCAGTTTCTGAGGGTTCTTTCATTCCCAGAGGAAATGTTGTATTCACGGTGGAAAACACACATCCGGAAGGTTACTGCCTAAAAAAATTGAATTGAGGCGATCCTTGTGCAGTGCTGGTATCCAAACGTGGAAGCTACAAATTCAATCTTCAAATTACTTAAGGAAGGTTATTTGGCAACTGCACAGAGGTGGCTCCCTAAGCATGGGGACTGTTAGCAGGGAGACAAATGTAAAGGTCACTGCAATAGAAAAGAGGTCATGAGAACCCCAATGTGGGTGGCCACTTTCCTCCTGCAGCAGAGAAATGGACAGCCACTTCTTGGACTTGTTATCATGGGGTTGGCCTTCAGGTGTGGGTAGAACTAAATGGCCAGAGAGGTCCCTTCCTCGTCTCAAGTTCTGTGACTCTCAGTAAGTGGATGGAAAGGGAAATAATGAAGGGATGCTTGAGAAGACTTGGGAACTGACTGGGTGAAGAAAGGGAAAGGAAAGAATCTGCTTATAGGCTCCAATGTCTGCAGAGGGTCTGTGCACAAATCAGATTTGAAAATCCATTGAGCTAAACACCCATGTTTCATAACATAACTCCTTACACACAGGAGCACTCTCAGCATGATGAAACTTGTCCATGCAAAGGATTCAACCAGAGCTGTGAACTCTGGGGGCCTCAGGGCTGCTACAGCCAGCAAGGGTTAACAGGTTGAACTGCAGGGTTGCAGGCTAGAGGAGTTGACACCTTGTCTGGGAGGCCCTGAAGGGACAGGGCTACTTCCTATAAAAGGAGAGCATCCTGTCCCTCAGAAGCACTGCCTCCTTTCTTCTTGCAAGGCCTGAAGTCTCTTCCTCTCAGCTGCTGCAGGAAAGGAACAATTGGAGAGAGAAGAATGGCTGCTGCTAGGGAAATGCTGCAGGAATGGCAGAGGGAAATCACCTGTAGCATCTGTAGGAGCTACCTCTGTGAGCCAGTCACCATAGGGTGTGGGCACAGCTTTTGCAGAGCATGTCTCTCCTGGAGTTGGAGAGTTGCAACTCAAGCTTCCTCTTGTCCTGAATGCAGCCAGGTGTCCCAGGTCAGAGAATTCCCAACAGTCAATGGGTGCCTAGCACAGCTGTCTGACCTGACCAAAGGGCTCTGCCCCTAGCCTTTGCAGAACACTGAGGAACAGAGCCAGTGTGCCAGGCACAAGAAAGTGCTCAAGGTCTTTTGTGAAGATGACCAGACACCCCTCTGCGTGAGATGTTCCCAAAGCCCAGAGCATGGGGCTCACAAGCTCTCTCCTGTAGAAGAGGCTGCTCACAACTGCAGGGAGAAGCTCCAGTACATTCAGAGGGACTTGGGGAAGCATCTTGAAGAAGCTGAGAAGCTTTTTGCTGAGGAGGAGACACTCGCTCTTGACTGGCATTGGATGATCATGGGAGAATATAACAAACTTCACTACTTCCTCATGTAGGAAGAAGCCCAATGTCTTGAAAGGGTGAAGGAAGAGGAAAGGGTGAGCCAGGACAGACTCTCCCAGCATATGCAAAGCCTTCAGGACCTCATGCTAGAGCTGCAGGAGGCAGGCCACCAACCCAATGTGGGTCTGCTAGGGGAAGTTGAGCAGTTGCTGACAAGGACTGAGTCAGTGTTGTCCCAAAGGGCCAAGGCTGTGGCCCCAGAGCTGAGAGAATACCCCATCCCTGGCATGATGGAGATGCTCAACCGGTTCAGAGTGGACATCACACTGGATCCCACATCACCCGGTCCCTGTGTGACTGTTTCTGAGGATCTGAAGAGTGTGAAGGCTGGAGAAGGCTGGCAGGTGGAGACCAAGCACCCTGACGACCCTGCTTGGCATGATGTCTTTGCTGAGCAGGCCTTCAGCTCAGGCAGACAGTACTGGGAGGTAGATGTGACTCAATTGCCTCAGTGGACACTGGGCATCTCTACCCCTCAACTGAGCAGAAAAAGGTGTAGGGAAGTGGACTCATTTGCCTCTCTGTTCCTGCTTCGATGTATCAAGAAGGAAGAGGATTACTATTTCCAAACCTATCTGGAATCACTGAACCATTGAGTGAAAGACCCTGTGCCCAGGGTTGGGGTATACCTGGAAAATGCTTCTGGCACTCTTGTCTTTTACAATGCCATCCAGAGCTCCCTCATCTATAAGTTCTACCCCATTCTCTTCCCAGAGCCTGTCATACCCATCTTTTCTCCTGGCC